CCCATACAATTAGTTAGATATGCCACCCGAAGTCGTATGCAGGACCCAGACGATCCCTTTTTTCTTACTCCAAAGGGATATTTTTGATCTTCTCACTGGTACTGATATGCTATGTGTATCAGTGTTGCAACTTTGGGAATTGTAAGTATATTTACATATTTTTTATATTCTCACTGGTACATTATTTTATAACTTTATTTATTTTCAATGTTGAAGGTATTTACATCGTTTGTGTGTTGAGAGGAAGATTGCCTTTATCTATGGATTTGTTGACCCTGTTGCCATTCAGTCCATTGGGAATAAAGCTGAAGAGGTGCAAACGTACTTAATAGAGACATTTCAAAATGGGGGCAAAGAAGTCTACTTAGCACCTTACTTGCATCAGTAAGTATACATCTTATAAATTAATGAACATTTATGTAAAACTGAAATTTTACTAATATTATTTCAACGTGCAGGGGTCATTGGCAGCTCATAATCATTGTTCCTCGGCAATTTGTTGTGATTCTCTTGTGTTCATTACACAAGAAACCAAATGATTTTGATATTAGAAAGCACATAGACGCGTAAGTTTGGTTTTTTAATTGATTTTTTAATTGTTGTATCATATGTGCACTTACACCAAAATTATTTGTCCTTTTGTAGAGCTTTGGAAGCTCACCTAAGGTTGCAAGGCCTTCCATCTCATGCTAGAAAGAAATTGACGTATATTGCACCAAAGGTGACCAAACACCTCTTATTGTTGTTCAATTTGTCATTTAAAGTTAAACTGACATGTATTTAACTTGTAGTGTCCACGCCAACCGGGAAGCTATGAGTGCGGGTATTATGTGATGAAGCACATGCACACCATCGTAGCCAAAAATATTATGGGCTCATGGAGGGAGGTAAATATACTATAATTAAGTCAAATATGCCAATTATGTAAATGGTTTCTAAATCTGAAATGTTTCAATATGTAGGCATTTACAGACTCATCTCCAATGAAGATTGAAGTGTTAGACGATATTAGAGAGCAGTGGGCTTCTTTCCTGCTAAGTATTCAATCTTCATAGCAAATTTGATTGTAACAATTATGATTGAATTGATTTAAGTTAGCAAATTTACATTCGTTTAAGTAAATGAACTGTCTGGAACTGAGGTACATATATTGATTTCAATATGTTTCATATGTCTGGAACTATATATGAACTATGCATATCTGTCTGTACAAGTGTTTGGATCTGTGAATATTTGTCTGGAACTGTGATGAATAGGCAGGTCTACTCGAAGAAAGGTAGCATTTGTGAAGAAAATGCAGATTTAAAAAAAAAAACACTTTCTACGTCGGTTATGTCATTACCCGACGTAGAAAGTACTTTCTACGTCGGTTAAGGACATAACCGACGTAGAAAGTTTAACATTTTATATCGATTATAGGCATAACCGACATTGATAACACATACAATCACGGTTACTGTTAACCGATATAGATACTGGGGTTATAAAAAGTTAGAAAGTAAGACTTTCTATGTTGGTTATCAGTGTTAACCGACATAGAAAGTAATATGACAGGTCAGAATTAGTTATGATCGATCAGAATACCCTATGACCGATCAGAACCAGTTATGAACGATCAGAATAGCTCATAGAAAGTAAGTCTTTCTACGTCGGTTATCAGTGTTAACCGACATAGAAAGTAATATGACAGGTCAGAATCAGTTATGACCGATTATGATAGCTCATAGAAAGTAAATCTTTCTACGTCGATTCCTAATAACCGACGTAGAAAGTAAGACTTTCTACGTCGGTTAGTCAGGGAACCGACGTAGAAAGACTTACTTTCTATGACCCCCATATCTATGTTGCCGCTTTAACCGACATAGAAAGCTCATTTTAACCGACGTAAAAAGCCTTTTCTCGCAGTAGTGATTTTAATAATTTAAAGAAAATTTGTTAATATCTAATCTTCTACAATTTATATTTTTATCATTATTTTTAATTAAACTTAATTTTTATAATAACTTACCAATAATAAAAAACAACTCGTATTTAGATATATATATATATATATATATATATATATATATATATATATATATATATATTATATTTATCATTAAAGCTAATTATACCGTAACTTAGTCCATAATAAGCAAAATTCATAATTTGTTAATTTGTTATGCTTGAGTTTATTGTAGGCATGGCAACGGGCAGAGCGGGGTGAGTTTTGCCTTCCCGATCTCCGCTCTTGACTTTTTAATCATCCTCGTCCCGCCCTCGATCCCTGCCGGGTTAGAAATTAAGTCCCTATTCCCGTCCCCGTTGGGTTTCGGGTTCCCAGTCCCCGATCTATATTATTTTTAAAAAGATAATTATATTTATAATAAATTAATTTTACTATCTATTTTTTATATATAATTAAATATTTATAATTTTATAATTTATAATAATTATTAATTAAATATACATTTTAATTTATTATATTTATATTAAAATATGTATATAAAATAAATATTTAATCATTTTTTATTTATAACATTATTATTATTATTATTATAATACTGTATTCAAATATTTGAATACTTATAACATTATCATTATTATTATAATACTATATTCAAACATTTGATTATATATATAAGTTAATTCATTTTTAAGTTGTAATTTAAAAATATGAAATATATAGTTTATAATGAAATATTTAATAAGTTAATTATTATTCAACTAATTCAAAGTAATAAAAGTTTAAATTATCAATTCCTTTAATCCTTTGAAATACAATTATTTTATTAAGATAAAATTTGATATATGATAAATAAGAATAACAAGATAAACAAATGATATAATAAAACCTAATAAATATAAATTATAAATAAAATAATATTAGTTACTATTAAGATTTATGTAAAATATTTAGAAAAAAATAAAGAATAAAAAAATTAACTGTGTTCATCAAATTGATTGAAAAGATTGAAAAAAAAAACAAATTGATGAGAGATTAAGAAAATATGAAAAACTACAAGGTATAAGAGAGAATAATATAATAAATTAATTGATATAAAAGATTAAAAAAGATAAAAAAATTAAAAAATAGGTAGAAGAAAAATAAAAATTGGTAAAATATAAAAAAAATGATCTTATATGTAATATAAAAAAAAAGAAAATACTTTTAAAATATTAATATTTTAAAATTTAAATTTAAATATAAAGTCGGGCGGGGACGGGGTCGAGGTGGGGATTGCATTACCCATCCCGCCCGTCCCGACTTTTTAAGCAGGAAAACCCGAACCCGCCCGCTCCCGAGTCAACTCGGGTTTTCCCGTCAAACTCGGGACGGGGATGGGTTTAATTGTCATCCTTAATGGTAGGGTTTTAGAGTTTTTTTTTTGTATAGCGGGCTGCGTTAGAAAGAAAAGAAAAGAAAAGAAATAAAAAAACAAAAGAAATGAAAATACCATTTTTAAGTATAAAATAAAAATTGCTACATCATGTTTACTTATTATACAATATTATGCTAAATAAATTTATATAAATTTCATTTAATATTGTAGGTCAAATAAACTGGAAAAAAAAAAAACTTCTATATCCAACCCTTAGTTGTGAGTTATTTAGATAAAATAAATATTTTTTATTTTTAGACAGAAGAAATTATTTTTGTTTAGAATCAACATAAAAAAAATACTCTTTATTTTTATTTAAGAATTAAGATGAAAAACATTTTAATTATTCAATTATTAAAATAAATTATAAGAATGAGAATTAGGATTTTTAATCATGATTTTATTCTATATCATAAATTTAGAAACTACTTTTTAAAAGTTCTTTAACAGCTCATTAAATTTAAACATAATATATATTTTAAGTATGAAGGAAAATTAGAGTATGTTCTTTTGTATTTAAAAAATAATTATGTTTATTTTTTTATAATTTAATTATTAATATAAATTATTATTTTAATCATATTTGTGAAAAATTAATACCTCTTACGTCTCTCTATATTATAATATATATATATATATATATATATATATATATATATATATATATATATATATATATATTAAAACTATCTATTCACTCCAAAAAGAGAAAGAATTATGAACTTATTTTTTGTGATTCATGATATAGTAATTTATTTTCGCACTCCTGTACAGAAAAGAACATGTATAAATAATCATATATGGTTGTTGATAGTTTAAAATTGCAAATTCGGTAAAAGTATAAATTTGACTTTAAAAATTTACGTGAATTTTGTTTTTAATCTTAATAATTTATAATAGGATATAATATTTATTCCTCACATTGATGTACAAGAAAGTCACACATAGTTTCAATCCATTTATCCTAAGAGAGAGGATGTTTATTTAGTAATTGTATGATGTGCCAGTTGTTCCTATCTCATTTGGTCACAGGGATAAATGGATAAACAAAACACATTTTTAAGACACTTTTAATTTTTTCTACAATAACTAGAATAAAAAGAAGTGGGTGTTTATGTCTTTCTAAACTAATTACACTTACTATCCAACAACAAAACAAAATGCATTTTCACTTTAGTCTCTTATCTTTTTAAATTATGGAAATGAGAGGAGAAGGAAGGAAAACAAAAATAATTTTAAAACCAAGGGGAATAATATTTTGAATAAATTTAAAATATAAAAACTAAATTAAAATTTTTAAAGATAAGGGATGAAATGAAATAAAATGTAAAATAAAAATAAAAAGTAGTTTATACAATTTAGTTAATTTTTTTTAATTGTTTTGTCAGCATTGGTATTTTTTATTAAGAGATTCGTTTTGAGTAATTTGTGTAGGAGGGGGTGAGTGAAAGTTTTGGATGAAATTGGCTAGACGGGTGGGTGGGTTAATGATGGTCCCAACGACCATTGGTTCCTTCTTGCGCCCCATATTTCACGCTTCTCCAAACCAATCTTCACTCTCTGCTCAACCAACTCAATCCGATGCAGCAAGCAGCATGAAATGAAATAAACATGCGTTTTCATCCTTCAACCTTTGCAATGCCAATGCTGCGTCAACGCATCATCATAATCACTCTCTTCCCGCTTCTTCTACACCTCACCTCCGCCATCGAATCTTGCCGATTCTCTTTTCAGGATGAAAAGAATCTCTACAATTACACCCTCTCTTCTCCCATCCGCAACTTCCCTCACGGCATCCTCAGCGAAGACGGGTACTCTCTCTCTCTCTCTCTCTCTAATCGTGCCTTAACCCTCTCTCTAGCTGTCCTTTTGTTGCGTTGATTTAAAGTTGTTCCGGCCTCTGTTTTGTTTTGTCGGATTTAATATCGTTTTCTCCGGTAGGACATATACACTTGATTTTCATTGATTATTTTATCGTTTTTCTTCCTTGGTTCGAGTTTAGAGTAATTTCCAGGATTAATTTGTTAATATTACAGCCTAAACGTGTTCTGCGTCTGGAACGTGCTTGGTAGAGTTTTTGGAATTTAGTTGTCTGGAGGGTTTTAACTGTTAGTATCTGGATTCTCTGGTTTTTACTGTTATTTGGCAATGGTGGTATCATCGGTTCTTAAATCAGATTTGAAAAAGAGGATTTACTGTATATTATTGATTACTTTGTAAGGATACGACAGTTATACAGTTCTGACTGAAGGTTTTCTTTTCATATTTATTTCGTGCTTGTAGATTTTACAAAGTGGCAGTAAACGAGACCACACTTTGGTTTCAGGTTGGCTCCATCAGGTCACACTTATTTCTTTGGATTCTGGCTTGTGGCGTTTCCATCCATCAGTAATGTTTTTTAGCTGTCTATGGTCATTGACTTGATTCATAAACACAAAGTATTGTCTGTTCTTCTTTTTGGGCTTTGATACTTTGACTGTGCGAAGAAACGGGAACTTTCCAAATTAGTCATTTAGATTTTATGCACCTTCCATTTTAGTCCCTGAATGATTTTTGCAAAATTAGGGACTAACGAAGGTTTTTTGAAATCTTAGGTACTAAAATGCTCAATCCATATAATATTGAGGCCAAGTTAGGGGTTCACTAGTAAAGAAACTTGCTTTATTTTGGTCCTCTAGTGACTGAATTGGTGTTTGTTATGTAACTATGCAAGGTCAATCGCTTTAGTTGAACTGTTTATGAATATATGGAATTTCAAAAACGCAGCATGTACGTTTGTAGGCAACAGTAGTCTTAAAGTAGCTCAAAGCTTGTGCCATGTTGATCTATAATTTAATTTTGTGCATTGGTTGTTTGAGCAGCTTTGCGATGGAATGATTTTCAATCATGACCCTCCAATATGTGCTGACTGCTGGGTAAGTTTATCTCTTTTCTGTGAAACTATTTTTTCTATTTTGATTGATATATAGTAATCATGATTAAATGTGATTTATGAATTATGATCTGACTTTATAATTAATTATGATTTAAGATAGAATTTATAGTTTTGTAAAGGAATAGTTGATGAAATCACTGGAGTTTTAGATATATTTATTGTTTGTAATATATCTCAAATATATTTGTTTCCTGTTTTCTTTTCAGTACAAGACTTTTTGTTCCTTTGTATTCGTCCATCCTTTTTAAGCTTTCCTTGAAAATTGTAGAGTAAAAGTAATTTCAGCGATCTGAGCCTTTAGGGAATAAAACGTATATATGAAGCTTTAATGCATCCATACTTCCTCTCATAGGGATATTCACAGACCAAGAAGCTCAACCACAGATAAAGTGAAACTGTACATTTTTTTTAAAGAACAGGAAAGAAGTTGTTAGATTAGTTACCTTACAATCAAGCATGTGGAAACTATATTTAGTTTAATTTCCTAGCAATTAGCAATCAGATGGTCTAGTCTAGTGCCTGGTGGTTACCGTTCACTTATAAGCTATTGCTACTTCAAAAAGTTGAGATGCAAAGGTAGTTCATATCAATGATAAATAACGGCAGAAACAGGCATTGGTAGGATTTTCAGGCTGCTCAAAGGTCTGCTGCGATTTGCATTTAGTAAATTATTTCAGGGAATATCTTGAAATAGTATAATATATTTAATTCTTTATTACCCATAATTATACAAAGTTGTCTTCTTACTTGATTGTCTTATTGTATGCTTTAGGATTGTGGAGGCCCAAATCGATGTGGGACTGAGTGCAATGCACTTGTGGCAAACAAAGTTGGAGGTAGATTCCTGACATGTCTGTTTTCTCTCAGTTACTTGTTTCTGTACCTAAATTGAGTTCAGTGTCTACTACTTTATGCTTGTGGTAGTGTTGGTGACAACTGAACAGTTCTGTTGCTTTGTTTAGTTGTTGTACCTTGTAACATCGGCAGTTCCTCACTATGAATTGAATTATATGATTAGCATGTGTTTGACCTTGGTGTGAATTTCTCCAATTGCAGAATAATTGGTTCTTCTGAGGCATTTGTTTTAGATCATTATTAAGTAAAAATGCAATTCAGGTCATTTTTGGTTCTAGTCTCTTCTTATTTCTCTTTTGCTAACAAATGTAGATGCTACCAACACATCACACAATTTAGGATCCATTTAGTCGTTTTTAGACTTTAAAAACTAAAACCAGGTTTTAGTTTGTTGTATTTTTTTTTTCCAGTTAAATTGTTGTTGTCAATCTTATAATTTTCCTTTAAAATGTTAACTGAAAATATGAGAAATTGTTAAAATGAGGTTGTGAATAGAGAATCTGTACTGAAGCATAGCAGAAAAGAAATTCCATCTGCATCCAATACGGTACCTAATTGATTTTATTCAATGGGAAATTATAAATATGGGGTCAAAGAAGGGGGAGCTGATAAAGGCATTGCGGTCATGGTCAGTGGAGATGACAGAGGTTTTGGGAGGGATAAATGTAGGTGGGGGTGGAGGTGCCAGGAGAGGGGATTCAGCTGGTGGAGTTACCAAGGGGGAGGATGTAGGTGATGGAGAGGCAGGGGTAGGGAAGCTAAGTGGTTCGGGGTGGAGAGCGAGTTGAGGCAGAGACTGAACAAGAGGCAGAGAAGGATGAAAGAAAATACCAAAACAGATGAGATGATTTCTAAAAACATAAAACTAGAATTACGAAACCTGTTTAATTCCTGTTTCAAAAAGTGAATTAAAACGGTTTTAAAATTGATTTAAAAACCATTTCACCCTCTTTTACCCACAAATATTTTGTTTTAAAATGTAAGTTTACACCCCAACGGGACCTTAGATTATCTGAAAGAGCTTCAATTCACTTTAAATGTTTTTTATATTGAGTGATAGCATGATTGAATTTTTTCATAGTAGCTAAGTACACTTAAGAAAAGGTATAGAATAATTTGACTTTTTTCTGCAAGTTGTATTGCTAATTAATATCTTTTGTATTATATCGTATTGTTTCATTTGTTTCTCATTTTGTATACACTGCTTTTGGTATATGAAGAACCTATACTCTACTCTGCTGCTGATTTTAATTTTTAATTCATTTGCTTCTGTGTTCGGAGGAGCACTCAGTCACTTTAAAATCTGAAAAAAATGCATTCATACGTGAACTACATATTTTTATTATTTACATTGTTTCAGCTTCTGTACAATGGAATTAATAGAGCTGCAATGTTCTTTAGTAGAGATTATTTTAGGCTTGAAATAATATGCCCCTTCATCATCTGTAGGTCAAGAGTTAATTTTAGAGGTACCTTCTCTACTTTGCTCAACCATTTAAAGCCCTTGATACATAAACTATACTATCCAATTGAAGTCAATTATTGTGTATATCTAGGAGTGAAATTTTGATTAGGGTAGAATCTTCACCCTCTAACAGAATGATAAATGCAGGTTATCGTGTATGCACAACCATTGGACGTGGCCCAAAAATAGATGTCGATATCATTGGTAAGCCAATTTTCCTACTTGTTTCTGTTTTCTTATTTTCTCTAGTCTATGTTTTTCGTTTGCTAATTTTTGGTGTTTCAGTTATTCTCCTGTTTTGTATGTTATGACTATTTGATTTACGTGATTTGAACTAATGCTTCTAAGTATGAACTTAACTAGAAAATATGACTTATGCTATTCCAATGGCAGATAAGAAAAATCCTCACACTGGTGTCATTGTTAGAATGTCAAACAGTGGCTCTAAGTTCAACTGTTCGCTATCTGTGTCTATTCTTTGTAATTTAAATGGAGTGCAGGTAGGGTTTATTTTTATTTACTGATTTATTTGAATTTTTTTAATTAATTACTACAGAAATGATGATTCTGATACTGATTGGGAAGTTCATTTATCAATCTTCTACTTACAGGGACCACAAGCTCTGGAGAGATTAGGGGCCTGTGATTATGTAAGTATTTTATTTTCAAGACTTCTTTTTTTATTGGAAAATGTTAGTTGTTAATATGTTTAGTTTTTTTATTAGTGGGGAACTCAAACCCACAACCTATCCCCATTCCCTTTACCGTCAAGCCAACCTTATCTTCCATTTTGGATATCTTTAATAATCAGTGCCTCCTATCATTCTCTTTTTTTTCTGTGAATTAATGTACCAGTTAAAAGTGTAGTAAGAAAGATTTTCTTATATTTTTCCTTTTCCAGCTATTTTCTTCACCAACTGTCCCTCAATGATGTGAAAACATTTATTGTTTTGTAATGTACTCATGTTATTTGATCTCTGTATTCTTGTTGAATGAAGTTTTAATTGTGAAATTGAAATATCAAAGTCCTTACCAGTCAAAATGCATTTTTTCAAAGCTATAGATGTTGAATACAGATGGCAGGAAAATTGATTGACTTTGCAAATTAGCAGCAGAGCTAAGCTGTTAAGTTCTCAGCTCTAATATAACAGATAATGAATCTTTTTCTTATGTCTTCATTATTTTTCTGTTCAAAATGAAGAAAAGTGGAACGAAATTCAATCTCTTATTCCCCTGCATTGATTTAGGACTACTGGAACACGAGAATAAGAATGATGGCTAGGCTAAAGTTGAAAACGTAGGGCAACATGAAGGTGATATTAATCTAAAACCAAATACAACTATTATTTATTGCTTGTTGCAATTTTCTCAAGCAGGTTACAGAGATGAAGCACCCATCTGGTTGTGCTATTATTGTAAATGTTCGTGGAGGAGGGTTGGGGTGGTTTGGCACCTTCATGATCATGTAAGGGTTTTACTATCTTGACTGGGACTGTTAATTATCACCAGGGGCTTGATTTGGCTAATTTACTAAAAATTGTTTCATCTTATCACATTCCAGTGTCTTGTGCCTTTTTGCTGCATATCTCCTGGCTGGTATAGTTTACCGATTTTTCTTCCTCGGGATCCGTGGTGTAGACGTATTCTCTCTACTTCCCTCTGTTGTTTACTTATCTTTTACTCTCTTTCCTGGTAGGGTATGTTTTGCGAACCAATAATTAAGAATGGGAAAGAAAAGAAAGTTTTAATGTATAGGATGAAAAGAACAAGGAATAGGAAAGCATCTCTCTCTTAAGGGTTCCCCTTCACAAAGAGCTAATACTGTAATTACCAATGATACAACTAGAATCAACCCCTTCTCTTACATCGTCCTATTTATTTAACTCATTAAACCCCTAATTTACTAATCAATATCCTAATTGTCTTAACTTTCCCTTTCCCATAGTCGTAACAGTATGTATACCTATTTTCATTTTATTTAGACTTAAATATGTTTCTAATTTCTAAAATTATGGTTTTTTCAAGTTTATTTAATTTTATTTATGTTTTGTCTCTACATTTAGCAAAAGCTGTGGTTGTAGCCTCTCATTAGGAACCATAAGCATGTACTTCATTAGGGACCATAAGCATCTACTTTTTATAATTTTGAAAATAAATATTTTAAACAAGAGTTGATTTCAAAAAATGTCATATTTTCAAAGACCAAAAATGTCATATTTATGTGTTTCATGTAGTTTATAAGAATTTACTACTCTATAATTGTTTCGTTATACTTGCTCTGCTAATTAGAAATTGAAAAGAGAAAAAGAAACCTTTTTCAGTAATTATTCTTGGCTTCTTTTTCTTTTTTCATTGATTTAATTTAATTATTATGTTCAAGGTATTTTAAATCAACATTGCATAATATAAACCCTTCTGTCAGTAGTTCATAATGGACTTTTATTGTTGCTAAGTATGAATTGGTAACTTAAATGGCATTGCTAAATTTTCTGCATCTCATACTGAAACTCACATTCATTACTGTCCCTCCAAAGGTGGGAAATTGCTTGTTAATCTCACCCAGTCATTCTGTTGGTAATTTTTGTTTCTTAAATGGTTTACGATGTTTTAAAATGTTAGTTCCATGCCAATCCTTCACAGCACTTTTTTAGAGCAACTAAAACCATCCTTTGTGGGTCTTTACTGCTTTTGGGTTTGACATGTTTTTTCTTTGACTCTATTTTTCAGATTATCCCAAACTTAGACTTCTGGGTCAGCTTGCCTAGGAGAACACAGGTATTGTTCTACATAAATGCTTCAATTTTAGTTTTTTCAATCTGCCAGTAGGGAAAGATAAAATGAGTTTTTAAAACTTTATCTCAACGATATATGTACAAGGATGTTGGGAGTTGCGTCCTTAGTCTAAGCATCTACTTTGTCTTTGCAGAGTCTGTGTGCTTCTTTGGTGAGGAGGTTTAAGGGACCGGCTGAAGGTTACCGGAGCTCCTATTCATCGGTCAACTTCTGATATAATTTTGAATTTTGTTACCCGGATAAATGCAGAAGGTTCCCTTTTCAGATACCCTATTGGTCAGTTCTGAGCTTCCTTGATATGGAGCATTCCTCAGAAATCTGTAATTCTTTTTCTGATTTTTCCTCCATGAATTTAGCATTTAACATTCTTTTATCCATCTTTGAAAGAAAAGGCGATAGAGTAGAAGGAAGAAGAAGAAGAAGAAAAGATAACACTAAAAAGTCAGGATAATTCTAAAGGTGGGATTATAATGGAGCTAATCCAATAATTTTGGTAGACATTCTTTGGTTGATAATCAGATAATTGAATGAAATTGTATCTTGTCTTTTGTTACTTTGAACATTAATTATTTTTTGTTTGTCATTTGGTAATCATTCTAAGCTGTTTAGCTTTCTACCAAAGATGGCCCTATTATATCCACAGTAAATGTAAGTTCAATGATCAGCTTCAATCTCTTGTCGTCAGGTCCCATGCTTTTTATCGGTTGCTGGCTTATGTAATACTGAGTTTTGTCCCACCATGTTTTGTTTTACTCTTGACAAGAACTACTAATAACACAATTTCTAACACACTTTTACACAAAGTCTTGGCCATTGTTGAAAATAACGATTTTGTGATCTCAATTCTCATTTAATAAAGTTTCACTCGTAATTTTATACTTTAGCAATAATAATTTGACCAACAGTAAAGTATAGTAGATGAAGTGTGTTATCTTATTAACACTCTTGTTGAGCTACAAATACTAGTTACTATAGATAACCTAGAATTCCGTCAGATAACTAAAAGAAGATAAAATTAACATCTCAATTTTTTAACGATGCTCATAGGAGAACTACAATTGTATAACCTAACTGATGCCAACAATTGAATAATAGTTCTTATAGTATCATCGGTTATATGAAATTAAAATATAAAATATAAGGAATGTTACGAACAATAATATGAGGTTTTAATTCCTTTTGCTTCATTATCTAAGGATACAATGTTGAACACTCGTTTAATCTGCCCTTACCAGGAAGAACAATATTCTTTTAAAGAATGAGGAGAATAAAATTTATTGGACAAAGTTACTGATTCATTTAGTTTGTTGTGAATTAATGACTAGCCCAAAGATTCAATGATTAATATATAAATAAAATATTATGAATATATTCTGTATCTTTTTATCATTCTAATACAATGAGTTTCTTCATTGATACCTCATTATTATTTGAACTTCATAATTTGTGGCCACGTCAAATGGGTGTGATTTGTATTTTTTGTGATAATTCTGATAAAGAAGATTCTAAAACAAAAAAAAGGGGACAGCGATGACTTAACTGTTCTCAAGCCTCCATTTTTTCCCTTTTGATTTGTGTTTATAAGAAGAAAATCCTACAAAGTAATTATAATGCCCCCTTTAACAATAAAATAATAATAAACATAAAAATATAAAGTTCTATTATTACTATTATTACTATTATATTAATAAAAAAATTGTAGTTGGTTTGTTCTTCTCGTTGAGAGTGTGAATCCATTATTTCCCTTATAACTGTAGGAGAAAATAAAATGGAGAAAAGTGGTTGCAGCATATGGGTGTTACACGTCACATGAGAGCTATCCAATAAATACAAACCCATGTTTGCCTTTGATTTTACGCAACTCTTATTCTACCTTTTTTTTTGTCCCTACCATCCATGACTCTCTTCTCCTAGACTTCTCATTTATATATTATTTATTTTTTTCATTTTTCATCCAAAACTAAATTTCAACTCACGTTTATTTTGCAAAATAGTTACAAACCTAGGATTTCAACGGAATAAAGTCATGAAAGATTCATCTTTTATTACTAAGCGAACCAAAATTGTATCTTCCTTTAAATTTTATATGTACAAGTATATTATGTCACTCTAGAAAAAAAAGAGTTAAGAAAATGATTTGATCTGCGACCCCCTTGAATCAAAGGTTGCCTCTGCCACTTGCATGAGGCAACCACCCCTTTTAATTTCTATAGTTTCCTGAAAAAGCTGTTCTAGACAAGAGTTTGTTTGCACGAGCTGGCTATAATGTTTTATCAGATTGAGGTAATATGGATGGATTATTTATATTTATGTGATAATTTTATAATGAACTCTAATATTTTTAATCATATGTTTAATATTGTAAAATTATCATTAGAGTTTGAGATCATACACAGTAAAACTGGATTCGTGCCAATCTCAATAACTATGATTCGGGTCTCATCAAATCTAATCCAGCCCTATAAATTAGCAAGTTCCAATGACGTGTATGTCTGTATATTTTTTTTCTTATAAAAAACAAGCTTCAAGTTTACATTACCAAGCCTTTATCGGGAGGAGATATACGAGAAAATATAAGTTTAATTAAACTAAATAGTTGAAGCCTCTAATGAGAAAAACTAGATACATATATATGTAAGATTTTTCTTATTTATATGGTACTCAAAGTGTAACTCTTGTTACAACTTAAGTGTACGATTTTAGTCTTTACCACGAAACAATTAATGTTATTTGTAATAATTTCCTTCTTAGTAATTATTCTATAAAGAATCTCAATCAGATTCAGTCCACCCAATCTCACTATTGGACTATGACTCGGCTCATCTGGTCTTCGTCACGGGACAATTATGCAACCCGTAACAATCTCTTCCTTAGAATTATTCACTAGGAATCGAACTCGTGACCTTGGTTCTGATACCATATGTTAAGGGATTTACATATTGTTTCCAATATTTATTGTAAGAATTAATGGTTGAGTTCAAGAGGGGGTGAATTGAACTTTGAAACCTTTTTCAAAAATGTTTTTCCTTTGAAAGAATTAGTAATCTTTATTCAATCGTTTATTAGGCAGATTTGATTTTTAACAAAACAGAAATATAAAACTGGAATGAAAAGAGAAAAATGCAGAAATATAATATAAGAGATTTTATACTAGTTCACTCTTTCCAAGAGCTACATCCAGTTCTTGACAAATCTGTCAAGTTCCACTAAAATCAAGTGAATATACAAACCAGTAGATACAAACCAATTTATCCCAAGATCTACTTAACAACACCACAAGATAGATTCTTGAAAAGCACCCAACAATCAAAACTCAGTCGCTGTAACCAGTGCAGATTCAAACATAATCTACACAATCAAAAATTCATACAAAGTATTGGAAAAGATAAACTTGGACAATAACTTTTGTAATTCAGAAGTCCAGAAGCAAATTTCCTAACACGGAACTTCCTCTCTTGAAGCTTTTTCAACAATCTTAATCAAAACGCCTTATGATATGAATGTGTATGAATGCTCAAAGAAACACACGAATATAAGAGCTCAAAGATTGCTTTAATTGTTTTTCAAAGATGTGTATTTTAGAAGAGAAATAAAACTTGTATTTATAAAGTAAAAGAGAAAAAATTGACAGTTTTAATCGATTAAAATGATACTTTAATCAATTGATTTCATTTAAAACTATTTTAATCGGTTAATTCGAGATTTTAATGGATTAAAATTGCTAGAAAGAAAAATGGTAACTCTCTGTTTTAACAGATTGAAACTTGTTTTAACATATTAAAATCCTGAGGTACTCAAAACATGAATTATGACTTAAAACATTTTAATCTATTGATTTATCAATTTAACAGATTAATACTATGAAACCCTTAACATGGAAAAACCATCAAGAACATTTTAATCTGTTGATTTTACGGCTTAATAAATTAAAATATCGACTATACATATACATTTCCTATTTTAAGTGATTTTAAATTAAAACTACATTTTAACAGATTAAAAAACTTAGTTTGTTCTTTCAAAGCTTAAAGGTTGGTTTTTCATGAAGTATGATAAATTCTATGATATGTAATAGTTATAGGCACTATCACAAGATATATTATAATTATCAAGAGATTAAATTATGTACCTATCACCTATCTATTCACACACGCACAAACGGAATAATGATACTTCATATGTCTTCATCAAATCCAACAAGTGCTTCATCTATCAGAGACATAGAGAGGCAATCAAAAGCGTTTTTCCTTTTCTCATTAAATGAATAAAAGCAATGGGCTATATAAAGCCGTTTTAGAGAAACAAAATATAACTAATCACATTTACATGATTAGGATGTGATCCCTATTATCTAGGAACAAAGACTTATTCTTTTTATACAATAGGAACGTAACTGCACAGAAAAACAGAACAGAATATTAAATTAAACAAATTAAAACATCTGACATTCCTTCCCTTAAACCAATGCATCTAGACTAGTTACTCCAAGCATGGCTCGAAGTCTCTCAAATTGCTCCAATTTGAACGGTCTTGTCATGATATCTGCAAGTTGATCTTGAGAGCTACAAAAACTTAACTTTACTACACCATCATTCACTAGATCTCGAAGGAAATGAAACCTTATATCAATGTACTTGCTTTTCCTATGAAACACTGGATGTTTGGACAACTGTATAGTAGAGCTATTATCACACATAATCATAACTTCGGAATTGATCTCCTCTTTAACTCCAATTTTCTTTAGTAAGCGTCCAAGCCAAACACATTGGCAGGCACACAAAGTTGCTGTTATATACTCTGCCGACAAAGCAACCACATGTTGTTTCTTTGAAGCCCAAGAAATTGCTCATGTCCCTATCATAAAAACATATCCATATGTACTTTTTCTATCATCCAAATCACCAGCATAATCACTATCTGTAAAGGCTACTAATGTTAGACTATTAGCTGCTTTCTTGTACCATAACCCCAAATTAGTTGTGCCTTTTACATACCGTAAATTCGCTTTGCTGCAAGCCAAAGTGCCATGGTGGGATTTGTCATAAATATGCTTATTAAACTCACTGCATACATCAAGTCTGGCCTAGTAACGGTTAGATAGATCAGGCTTCAAACTAGCTGCTTAAACAACGTTTCATCAACTTTCCCTTCACCTTGGTCTTTAGATAGTCTTGTTCCTGACACCATTAGATTTTTCACATCATTGTTATCCTGCATTCCAAATCTTGATAATACTTCCTATGCATATCTTTTTTGACAGATAAATATATCATTTGAACATTGTTTAACTTGGAGCCCAAGAAAATGACTCATTTTTCCTAGATCAAACATATCAAAATGTAACATCATTGAACTTTTAAATTCATCACACATGGTTCTATCATTGCCAGTAAATATCAGGTCATTAACATAAAGACTGACAATTAATATTTTACCTCTTCCTTGAGTTCTCCATGCAGAAATGCGTTTTTCACATCAAATTGAAATACCTCCCAATTGTATTGAGCAACATTACTCGTATAGTATCAAGTCTTGCCACAGGAGCAAATACCTTAGTATAATTAACTTCATACATTTGTGCATACCCTTTTGTCACGAGCCTTGCCTTGTATTTTTCTACCTGTCCATTGCATCCAATTTAGTTTTAAACACCCATTTTACTCCGATTGGTTTGACGCCTTCTAGTAGCACAGTGAGCTCCCAGGTGTGGTTTCTTTCAATTGAATCAATCTCTTTCATCATGGCTTCTCTCCAGTGTTTACTCATCATAGCTTCTTCAAATGAGACCGGATCATGTTCAGTCATCATTAACATTACATTCAAATTTTCTTTTTCGGACAAGCCTTCTCCAGCTTCATAATTTGTCATCCATCTTGGTGTTCTTCTAGTTCATTCACCCCTCCCTTGAGGTGAATCAGATGCCATGTTGTCCAAATTGACTGCATCACTATCACTATCATCTTCTCCATCGTCATCAATACCTTTGTCTCCTATACCTTCATCCTAAAAAAACAACTCATTTTGCTATTTTTTTATCTCAATTTTACTCTAGTCCCAACATTCTTCTTCTTCAAATATGACATCCTTACTGATGATGAGTGCTTTTGAAATAAGATCATACAATCTCCATGCCTTGGATTCATCACTGACTCCTAGGAAAATACCCTTCCTGCTTTTATCATCTAATTTAGTTCTCTTTTAATCTGGTGTATGCACATGTGCTAAGCATCCAAAATTTTTGAAATAGTCCACCACTAGTTTTGTGCCACTCCACGCTTCTTCTGGAGTCTTGTTCTCTACTGCTACTGTCGGACATCGATTCTGGATGTGTACACACCATCTCACAGCTTTTGGCCAGAATACTTTAGGTACCTGCTTCTCACTTAGCATGGATTGGACGACATCCATCACTGTTCTTTCTTTCAGCCACTCCGTTTTGGTGAGGAGTGTAGGATGTGGTCAGCTGCCTGTTAATGCCTTAGGTTTGACAGAATTCTTTGAATTCTTTTGAACGAAACTCTCCTCCTCTGTCCAGAGACAAGTGATGAACTTCTTGAACTTCTCCTATCTCCTTTTCAACACATGCTTTGAACTTCTTGAACGTCGTAAGCGCTTCTGATTTTTTATGTAAAAAATATACCCAAGTTTTTCGAGTATAGTCATCAATAAAACTTAAAAAATATCTCTTATCACTGTTTGATGCTGGCTAGATGGGACTACATATATCTAAATGTATTAGTTGAAGTGGACGAGATGATCTCCATTTACTTTTTCTTGGAAAGGGCCTTCTGGATTGCTTCCCGGTTAAACATGTAGTGCATGACTTTTGTGAATATTCCAACACTGGTAAACCGATTGAAAGCCACCATGTTTAGGTCCTTGTAGTTAAGATGTCCAAAGTGACAGTGCCATATATGAGCTTCCCTTGTTGAAACAATTTCTGTTTTAAAGCATTTGGACTGTTTTGGACTCACAGAGGCTGTCACATAAAACATTCTATTCCTGCTCATATCAGTTTTCATAATTAAACCTTTATGGAGATGAAACACTTTGCAGCTCCCATCTGAAAGTAAGATGACTAATCATTTCTCTTGGAGTTGTCCTATACTGAGCAAGTTGTTCTTAAGTGCAGGAATATAGTAAACATCAGATAATACCTGAATTATACCATTAATTTTCACCTTGACATTACCTTTAGCTGCCACGGGCAAGTGTGTATCATTTACCAACTTCCCTGTTTTGTAGTGTTCATCCTTGAGACTAAAAAACCAAGCTTTATTTCCTGTCATGTGATTGTTGAAACCTGAGTCAAAATACCACCTTTCTTCTACACATTCCTATTGAGGCTCCTCGTAAGCCATCAATAAAATCTCCTCTTCTTCATCTTCTTCAACATAGTTTGCTTTCTTTTTCCATTCAGGGCATTCATACTGAAAATGTCCCAGTTTATGGTATTTGAAACACTCAATAGTGGCTTTATTTAAGGGTTGTCTCACTCTCCCTCTACCGCGTCCCCCTCTGAACGCATCACGACGACCTCTGCTTTGTCGACACTTTGGAGTGTTTCTGCTTGTGTTGTCATCATATGTGGCCTTCAACACATGCTCCTCCTCCTGGAAACCTTGCATCCTTTGCTCATGAACAAGCAAACTCCCATGCAGCTCATCAATAGTTAGAACACTTAGGTCATTGGACTCCTCTATGGCACAAATAATTGAATTTTGCTGTCAGTAATCACAACATTTTGCTTACCACTATGCTTTGTGTCATTGTTTCTCCATTGGATTTCATTATGCCAACTACAACCATGGTTCGTCCCAAAAAGCTGTCAATCTTTTCTCCTTCCTTCATGATCAATAACTCAAATTCTCTTTGTAGAGCTTGAAGTTGTGCCCTTTTTACTCTCGTAGATCCTTGATATTTCTATTTCATTGAACTCAAAATAACTTTTGAGGTTCCTTTGTCAATAATTGTTTCCAGAATCTCCCTATCAATTACCTGGAATAAAAAATTCTTGACCTCCTCCACAATTTTCTTTTGAACTTCACTGTTTGGTCCTAATCCAATTATAGGTGTGGGAATGCCTTCTTCCACCAAACCACATAGCTTTTTGCTTCCAAGAAAGGTTTCCATTGTCATAGACCAAAAATCATAATGGCCATCAAATCTTGGAATAGCCGGTTGCACAAACTTTTCAAACATTTTTTGTTTGTTGTTCTGGAGTCTAAATCTCACGCTCTCAGATTTCCTTTTTACTGTGTTGTAAGATTCAGCAAGCTATGTGGAACTCACTTACTCACTAGGTTATTAGGCCATTTGTGTAGCTCTGATACCAATTGTTAAGATCGAACACTTACCACTTAACTAAAAACTATAATTATTAGTCAGATCGCAACTCTTTTTACTTTAATAATTCAAGTACCACAATTCGATTATAGCTCAACCCACTTAGTCTCTTCCACGAGACAATTGATGTTATGTGCAACAAGATAGACATTAATATAGGTAAGTAAAGTAATAAATATTAAGAAAAAAAAAACATGTATGCTGAATATGTGTAACTAACACATAATCAATCAAGATGTCTAACTAACAAAAGATATTCTGAAGGTGCTGTTCGAAACCAAATTCGTGGTAATAATAATAAAAAAATGTATGCAATCTAGAATCAGATATCAAATACATACATGCAATGTAACAAGTGAACAGTGGCGGATCTTTTTGGGAGCTGAGGGGGGTTGTGACCCCCCAAAGTTTTGTAACTCCCATGTAATTTATGATTTTGGTCCCCCGAAACTTAATGAACATTTAATATATTTACTTGTATATTTACAATTCTATCATCTCAGCCTCTTCTTCAGCTTTTATAATTCTCATATAATTTATAATTTTGTCCCCCTCAAACTTAATGATCATTTAATGTATTTAAGTATATATCTACAATTTTATTTTTTCACCATTTCATCTTCTTTCTTCCTTTTTATATTTATTTATTATTTATTAATAATATATTATTTGGCTCCCTCAACATCAATGGTCAAGATCCGCAAGTGCAAGTGAATAGGACAAGTTTACATACAACTCATTGCTATTGTCATTTTTTAGGTTTTTGCTTCTCCATTGTTAATTTTTTCTGAGTGTCCAACTATCGCAGCATAATAATAATGATGATATAATACCATGCAGGGTCTAACATTCTTGTTGTTTCCGTGTGAGAATTAACTAACAAAGCAGGTAAATTCGAAATGCAATGTTACCTAATTAACACCTAATCACCCTCAACCTAATATTCTCCAACAAAACCACGAGAAAAATACGCACGTATATTTTGTTTCTTTGATGTAGGGTATGAAGGAACCAGACTCCTCACTCGCTTAGAAATGAAGCCAAGCAACATTTCAACTTCCAACATAACTAACTCTCACATTTTTAAACCTTAAAAATTTACTTCTTCATAATAATAACACTATTTTTATCCTATATAACTATATTGTAAACTTTGTTATTAAAAACAATATTGAATATATACTATTTTATAATCTTTTTATTTGTCAATTTGATTTTTTTAGATAATTAAAAAACTGCCGTTAATGTAGATTGCATTATTTTAAAACTGTAAGATTTTTTATTCTATACTTTTTTATATCGTAATAAATAAATATGCAAATGTATATATGTTGATTAGCTTAAGTGAGAATTAAGATATAATATAAATATAAAACAATATTTTAAAAAAGAAATTTGATATGTGACGGAAATCACAATGGATGATTGGTGTACGTATGAACTTTTGTTGTCTTAGAAAATGGAACTCCACAATGATGGCTTCAACTCACCCTACCTTTCACCTTACTTTATAATCATTCTTCATGGTTGCTAGCTACAAGAATGAAAAACAAATAATTGATACATGCAAATTTTGATGAAGCCACCTTCTTCCTCCTTTCCCTCTCTTCTGAGAGTGAGGCCTCGCCTCTCTTCTTACCTCTTCACTCTCTTAGCTTTCACTCTCTTCGCTGCAATCATCTATGGCCATGACTTCCTCTTCGTCTTTCATCCACACCTCCTCTCCATGGAAGAAGCACAAACCCTCGTCTTCTCCACACACGGTGAGTTGACTCACTCCGCCCTCTTTCTTTTTGTTATTATCATGCTCATGCTCTTGTTCTTGTCACTGTTTTGATGGTGTTCTTAGTGGGATCTTCAAATGAAAGAAACAAGACAACGGTGACAGAGACGAAAAGAGAAGAAGAAGAAGGAGGAGGAGGAGGAGGAGGGTGTGACGTGTTCAACGGAAGATGGGTCCGCGACGAGTTGACTCGGCCACTGTACGAGGAATCGGATTGTCCGTACATACAGCCACAGTTGACATGTCAAGAACACGGTCGGCCGGAGAAGGAGTATCAACGGTGGCGATGGCAGCCTCACGCTTGCGATCTTCCCACGTAAGTTTGTTCAACACTTCTTTCTACCATAATAATTTTTTAATAAATTCTCCTTTTATTAATAGTAATTTGGAAATAGCTGAAAAGGAGAACGTTAAAAATTGCGTCGCTTTGTGTGTGTTGTGTTTTGGACGGGTCCAAGTTGTCGGTGGGTCGGGTTTGTTGAATCCGTTTGATGGGAGGCACGTGTGAGAGGGGTGGTTGAACACTATGAATGCTGAAGTCATAACTGAATTGAATGAATGCCACCAACAATTTTGTACCAATTAAGCCATGCAATGATGGTGGAGTTGGACACTAGTAGTTATGACTTTGTTTTGCAGGACGTTATGTATGTTTTCCATTGGTGGGACTAGAGGTATAATCCAAAATTTGAAATTTTTATATAACATATATATATATATATATTAATCTTAATATTATATACTTAATTATGTGATAATAAAATATAAACTCTTCCTAAATTCATCAAAATTCATTTGGATCAGAAGGACTTCACGGGTTAGAGTATGAACCCCGAAGTGTGTGATGTTGAAGCACGGACACAATTTAATGTTTTGTGATGCTTTCTATTTTAATTTATGCAGAAGTTGATTCTTTAAGCCCTTATTTTGGACTTGGTTAGGGTTGATTATTTTTGCTAGTTTGAAACAGCAAATTGAAATTCTAAAGTTGTGGCCATGTTTCCTTCTTACAAGAATGATTATTTGGTGAATTGTGGTGGAAAAGTAAGGAGTTATAGGCGTTGATTAGGTTGATTTATTTGGTAGGGTCTTTGAAGTTAAGTGTACTTAATGGATGTTTTATTGATTAAAGAAGCAAATTGAGCAGGGTCATTAAATTGGGCAACAAAATTGAAGTGTAGACTCTCTCTCTCTCTCTCATTTTTTTTTGTCTGTTTAACTGAGAAGGATGTGGACAGATAAGAAAATTAAGTGTTCTTGTATGCCCATTAACTGGAAAAGTTTCCAATCATAAACTTTAGAGATTATATAATGCAGCTCTTTAATGCAAATCACTTCTCTAAAGTCATTAAAATTGTTAGAAGGTTACACGAATTTAGTGTGCAAGTCATTTTTTAAGACATGCTTGGCCAGTTTTTTATTTTAAAGTTATTTTCGATTAACTTTTAAAATGATAATTTCCTAATAAAATATAGAAGTTATTGATAATTTTTTAATTTAGCTGTATTCCGTATCAAATAATAAAAAATAATATTTCTTTATTATCTTTTATTTAAATTAAGTATTAAGAGATTTTATTATCTTTTAAGAGAGAAGGTAAAAAGATATTAGGTTATTATTTTGATTTAAGGAGCTATGATTGAGATATTATTGATATTTGATATTTTGTAATATTTTTACTCTATATATGCATAGAGTACATGAATACAAATATACCCACATAATATATCAGAAATACACATATACAAAACCCTAAAATTACTAATAGTAGTATCAGTGCTTTGGTTCCATACAATAAAAGGAGAAAGAAATTTTTCACAAGTCACTATTCCAGTTTTTGTTGGCGAAAATTATGACTTATGGACTATGAGAATGCAATCTTATCTTGAAGGTTTGGATATATGGGAAGATATAGAAGAATATTATATTGTTGATCCACTACCTGAAAATCTTACCATAGCTGAAATAAAATTTCACAAAGAAATAAAAATGAGGAAGACAAAAGTTAAATTATGTCTGTTTGCTGGTGTTTCACAAATGATCCTCACCAGAATCATGATGCTAAAGTCACCCAAAAAATTTTGGGATTATTTGAAATATCAATATGAAGGGGATGAGAAAATTCGAGATATGAAAGTTTTAAACTTGAAAAGGGAATTTGAGATACAAAAGATGCAAGAGTCTCAAACAATTAATGAATATTCAAACAGATTGTTGGGTATTGCTAACAAAATAAATTTGTTAGGCAAGGAATTTTCTGATTCCATAATAGTTGAGAAAATTCTGGTTATTGTGTCAGAGAGATATGGAACATATATTGCTTCATTGAAAAATACAAAGGATTTGTCTAATATTACTTTGGCAGAAGTGCTACATGCTTTACAAGCGCAAGAGCAACGAAGATTGATGAGAGGAGATCATGTTGCTAGTGAAGGTTCTTTACTATATCATGATGGAGGTTCTCTCCAATCCAAGAACAATAAAGGTACAAAATCATGAGTCTTTTCCTATTTGTCCTTATTACAAGAAAAATAATCACACATCCAACAAATGTTGGTGGAGGCTGATGTGAAATGTCGAAAATGTGGTTAATTGTGACATATATAAAAGATATGCAAATCACAACTAGAAGAAGTCGTCAAGATTATAGAGGATGGAGTTAGAAGGGGAACTTATTCAAGTTATAGAGGATTGAGTAGAAGGAGAATTTCTTCTTGCATCAACATGCTCTATAATCAATAAATTCACAGATTGGCTTATAGACAGTGGTTGTACAAACTACATGACTCATGATCGAGAATTTTTCAAAGAGCTTAACGAATCACATATTTCTAAAGTGAGAATCGGTAATGGAGAACAAATGAATGTGAAAGGTACGAGATTAATTGCAGTTAAAAGTAATTTGGATATCAAATTAATTTTTGATGTTTTATATGTTCCTAATATTAATCATAATTTGTTAAGTGTTACTTAATTATTGGAGAAAAATTATAAGATGCTTTTTGAACACAAACTTTGTGTGATTAAATATACAAATAACTTGGAAATAGTCAAAGTTCACATAAAAGAAAAAAACTTCACTTTAGATTTGATGAAAGAAGAGTTGATTACAAACAAAGATATAAAAGAAAAGTCAAAGAAAAAGCATGAAGAGGATTTCTTGAAGGAACTTGATGATAAAGATGTAGATAAAGAAACCGTTTTCAACGTCCATCAAAGAGTAAACATTACTACCATGAACGAAGATGTGATCCCATGCAAAAAGGAAGATGACAACAAATACAAAAAAAGGAAAAATTATAAGCAAAATAAAAGAAAGAATATCAAATTCAAATAAATAGATATTAAAGTAAGGAGTAATTTTGAGAATATTACTTTATTATCTTTTATTTAAATTAGGTATTAAGAGATTTTATTATCTTTTAAGAGGGAAGGTAAAGAGATATTACGTTATTATTTTGATTTAGGCAGTTATGATTGAGATATTATTGATATTTGATATTTTGTAATATTTTTACTCTATATACATATAGTATATGAATATAAATATACCCACATAATATACCAGAAATACACATATACAAAACTCTACAATTACCAAACATGCTATTTTTATATAAAAAAAATACATTTTTTTAATACATAATTACTCGAGTCCATGCATCCAAGGAATTATTGAATTGTGATGGAAAATATCCAAATCAACTTCAATTGTTTTTCATGTTTTCTTTTTTCGTACTATTTAATTTGAGACTTAAAATAATAAAATATGAAAAAATATTATCATATTAACAGAAGAACTATTATTTAACTTGTATGTAAATGATTAGGCGAAAGTGATAAAATGATTTTTTAAAATTATTGATTTAGATAATATAAAAAAATATATAAGTAACAAGTTGTATTTAAAACGAAGACTTTAAAAGAATTTATATTATTAATATAACTATGTTTTTAAATTTTTATTTTTATGTTGAATTGTACTTTTCAAATTAATATAACAAAGTATTTAGAAATATGATTAGGGATAACAATTAAACCCGTATCCGTGTGAATCGACCCGTCCCTGCCCGAGTTTGACTGGGAAAACTTGAGTTAATTAGGAGTGGGGATGGGTTCGGGTTTTCCTCGCATTATGGGCGGGGGCATGAATGGGTAATGCAATCTTCATCCCGTCCCTGACTTTATATTTAAATTTAAATTTTAAAATATTAATATTTTAAAAGTATTTCTTTTTTTTCTATTATATATAAGATCATTTTTTTTATTTCACCAATTTTTATTTTTCTTCTATCCACTTTTTAATTTTTTTGTCTTTTTTAATCTTTTATATCAATTAATTTATTACATTGTTCTTTCTCTTATCTTTCAATTTTTCACATTTCCTTAATTTCTCTCATCAATTTATTTTATTTTCAATCTTTTCAACCAATTTGATGAACACAAAGTTAATTTTTTTTATTCTTTATATTTTTGTAAATATTTTACATAAATCTTAGTAGTAACTAATATTATTTTATTTATAGTTTATATTTATTATGTTTTATTATGTCATATTTTTTTATCTTATTATTCTTATTTATCATGTATCAAATTTTATCTTAATAAAATAATTGTATTTTAAATTATTAAAAGAATTGATAATTTAAACTTTTATTACTTTGAACTAATTGAATAAGAATTAACTTATTAAATATTTGCTTATAAATTATATATTTTACATTTTTAAATGACAACTTAAAAATGAATTAACTTTTATATATATATATATATATATATATATAATCAAATGTTTGAATACAGTATTATAATAATAATATTATAAGTATCCAAATATTTGAATATAGTGTTATAATAATAATATTATAAATAAAAAATGATTAAATATTTATATATATATATATATATTTTAATATAAATATAATAAATTAAAATGTATATTTAATTATTAATAATTATAAATTATAAAATTATAAATATTTATTTATATATAAAAAATAGATACTAAAATTAATTTATTGTAAAAGTAATTATCTTTTTAAAAATAATATAGATTGGGACGAGTGGGAAACCCGAAATTCAGCGGCGACAGGAACGAGGATTTAATTTCTAACCCCAGCGGGAATCGGGAGCGGGGACGGTTAAAAAAATCGGGGACAGGAATTGGAGAGGCAAAACCCAACCTCGCTCTGTTGCCATGCCTAAATATGACATTAAGTGTTTTTTTTTAATAGCTCAGGTTGTACATGACTTTAATGCAACTTAATATACACTAAATTGCTTACAAACATGATTTTATATATAAAAAAAATTAAAATTATGTTACATAATTCGAATTTTAATAAAATATTAAAATAAAATAAAATTAAAGTCATGTTTTTAAATTTCTTCTAAATGAAATCCTACTTCCAAATCTGTAAATTTTTTTAAAATTATCCATTTTAGTAATTTAACAAAAATTGCACTACTGCTTTTGCATAAACGTTTCTTACTCTACACATAACAAAAGAAGAAAGTATTTTCAACTGAGCTCACTAACACTAAACAAGGATGAGAGCATAGATAGAGTTCTCATAGAACCTAACTTATCTTAAAAACTTACCCACCAATTTTTTTTTTTTTTTTGAAGTTACTTGTTCTTTTATATAAAAAAAAATACAAATAAAAATACTTAATTTTTAAAAACTTTTTCCGAATGAGTTTGATTTATATTTTTTTTTTTAACGAGAGAAGCTAAAAAATGTTAGACATGTATATAATTGTAATGTCAAATTTAGTTTTTGCTTTTCCTAAAAGTACAAGTAAAAAAACTATTAAAAATAATTTTATTAGTTTTTATCTTTTAAAAATATTATTTTATTATTTTTTATTTAAATTCAATATTAAATTTTTTTATATTTTAAGAAAAAATATATTAAATTATTATTTTGATTTATACAGTAAGATATTATTAATATTTTATATTTTATAATATTTTTATTTTATATATAAATAAAATACATGAATAAAATATATATTTCATGTATAAAAATACATATAAATAAGATTATAAAATTTTCATCATTATCATACCTTGGTTATGTTCAATATGTTGCAATCATGAATAAAAATCATTAACAGTATTTGAATTTCTTAAACCACACTACTTGTGAGAAAATCAAACTTTTTATTTTCCACAGTCACGATTTAGACTTTACACCATTAAAAGAACTTAACCCTTTGAATGTTTAAAGTTTCATAATTCAGTAATCTAAGCCAAGCATAACACATTTTTAGCAACATACAGATTCAATGCAAGTTTAATGCTGGAAAATCTTCGTGGGAGGAGGATGATGTTTGTTGGAGACTCCCTCAATCGAGGTCAATACGTCTCTTTGATATGCCTTCTCCATCAACTAATTCCGGAACATGCCAAATCCATGGAAACCTTTGATTCCCTCACTGTCTTCAGAGCCAAGGTAGGTATATCTCTCACTCTTTGCTTATGTGCACAATTCATAATTATGTGTCTATCTTTCTTGTTTTTTTCTCTCTGTTCATTGTGTTGTATTTACTTAGGATTACAATGCCACAATTGAGTTCTATTGGGCACCTTTTCTACTTGAATCAAACTCCGATAATGCTGTGATCCATAGGGTAACTGATAGAATCGTGAGAAAGGGTTCAATCAACACACATGGTCGTCGTTGGAAAGGTGCTGACATTATTGTATTCAACACTTATCTCTGGTGGATAACTGGTTCTAAGATGAAGATCTTGTACGTTTCTCTGCTCTACTTTATTAAACCAATGATTTACTTTTCCCTCTCTCATTTCCTTGTCAATGCCATTGTAAAACATTGCCTAAATTTTTCTCAAACTTCTAGGCTTGGATCTTTCAACGATAAAGTAAAGAAGATTGTTGAGATGTCAGCAGAGGAGTCTTATCGTATTGCTATGAAAAGTATGGTTAGATGGGTGAAGCTGAACATGGACACCAGCAAGACAAGAGTCTTCTTTACCAGCATGTCACCTTCTCATGCAAAGTGAGTATAGTTCAAAGTTCACACACACACATAGCTATATCAAGAGAGCATTGTTTAGGCAATAATTTGTTGTATAAAATTTTGGGGACTCATTGTTGACATGTATACATGGCAGAAGCATAGAGTGGGGAGGTGAATCAGAAGGAAACTGCTACAATGAAACAACACCAATTGATGATCCTACATATTGGGGTTCTGACTCTAAGAGAAGCATAATGCAAGTAATTGGAGAAGTGTTTAGAAAATCCAAAGTACCAATAACTTTTCTCAACATTACCCAACTCTCCAGCTACCGAAAAGATGCACATACATCAATTTACAAGAAGCAATGGAACCCATTGACTCCAGAGCAATTAGCTAATCCTGCTACCTATGCCGATTGTGTGCATTGGTGTTTGCCTGGACTTCAGGATACTTGGAATGAACTTTTGTTTGCCAAGTTATTTTTTCCTTAAAAAGTATATCAAAATAATGTGGCAAAAGAGAATCATTGAATGGAAAGAAAAAGAGAAGATTTGTATATAATAATAGTTAACATCGACGAAGGAGGAGATTGTGTATGAAGCTGAGCTAATTATTTTTTCTTGTACTTGGAATGTTAATTCCGAATTTTGCTACTTAATTATGTTCACTAGCATGATGCTAACACATATATCGTTGAATTGGATTTGGATTGCTATGGAGCATTTGTTTTAACTATATACTAGTACAAAAATACCCTTTTACGTCACTTAATCTTTCTGTCCTTTTGCATCACTTAATTCTTGTTGGATAAAAAAATAATCGACTTAAAAAAAAAAAGTGGTGATAATTTTATAAATATTGAGTGAAATTTTTACATTAAACCCATAAAAGGGTGACGTAAAAAAGGTCTTTTAGGTCGGACCAATAGGGATCTGACGTAAAAGACCTCTTTTACGTCACCCTTTTATGGATCCGACGTTAAAAATTGAACCAGTTGTTGGTCTGACGTAAAAAACTTTTTTTATGTCGGTCCCTTATGGGTCCGACAACCGACGATGACCACCTTCTCTCAAGGTACATTTCGACCACAGTGAGTGACAAAAATACTTTCATTATGTCTCATCTATGGTGGTTGACATTTGTCTCCGATTGAATTCGAGTTTTACAACAGTTTTGTATCTTGTCTCCTCTTTTATGTTGAAATTGAATTTTTCCACTGAATTGTTATTGATATTGAATTGTTGTAGTTAGTGTTCTATGCATTTGAATCCTACTTTTTTGTTGTTGTTGTTGTTATTGTAATTTGTATATTGGAAGTTTAGGTTGTTGTTGTTGTTGTTTTGTGTAATAGGGTTTTATGATGAAAAGAAAACGAAAAATGTTCGAAACAAGATAACTTTTGACTCGGATGTCGGATTCGGACGCACAACATATGAAAACGAAGAGAAAAAGGCGAAGAAGAGGGGACAAATCCCTTATGGGATTTGTTAAGTTCATTTACCTTTGTGTGTATTGCATGTTAACTGAGTTAAATTAATATTTCAGGTATTTCAAGATTCATCCATCTCCACTATGAGGACATGATATTACAAAATAATAAAGTTTTTCGTTCAATATTTCTAGTTTGTATTACATTATATACTTTAACATTTCAAATTTTGAAAGAAACTAGAACCTTTAGACTATCTGACTATAATATATGTTTTCAGGTTTTGGTTGTAAGACAAAATAAACCCAATAATAAAAAAGGATGAAATTCATAAATTTACGTCTCTCGTATTAACGATGTAAAAGATCCATTCTGCATTAGTGATAACACTTCTAAAATAAAATATAAGAGAATTTTTGGTATAACAATTTACATATTATTTGAAACGATGAAAGTGTTGTTGTAATCAATATACTAACAATAATAACTACAATAAAATAATTATTCTAGCCATTTTTATATATACATAGAACACTCTTGTATCCATATATTCATTGTCAATTACATTCTTCTTTCTCACTCTTTGTCTGGTAACGCTAACAGTGATATCAGGAGCCACTCGGTTCAAGATGATCAAGTGGGTGTGGTGAACTCTTATGAAGAAGACTGATCTTGAAGCTTTGCTGCACATAACACTTTCATGGCTGCTGGAGGGGTGATTGCTGGAAACTTGCCTATGTTCGATGGCAAGGGTTATCGGGATTGGTGCGTGAAGATGGATGTCATTCTTGGTTTCCAGGAGGTGGATGATATTGTCAAGAAAGGATTGTAAGAACCATCCAAGAATGCTACGAATGAGGTGAAGAATGCATACAAGGAGAATCATAGGCTTGACTGCAAAGCTCGAATGTTGCTGCACCAATGCGTTTCTGCTACTGTTTTTCAGAATATTTCCACAGCCACGTCTTCTAAAGAAATATGGGATATCTTGCAAGAAACATATGACAACTCTGGAAAAACCAGAGAAGTTAAACTGCAATCATTACAACGACAGTTACTGGGTATGATTGATCAAGAATCAATCGCAGATTACATTGGAAGGTTGCAAATTATAGTTAATTCCATGCAATCTTTAGATAAGCCTGTGAAAAACAGCAAAGTGGTGGCTAAAATTCTGTGAACCTTAACACCTCAATTCGATCACATTGTTGTTGCCATTGAAGAGTGCAAAGATCTTGCGAAAATAAGCATTGAGGAATTACAGAATTCACTGGAAGCTCATGATCAACGGTTGATTGAGAGAAAGAATCATGAGAAGAGTGCTGATCAGGTTTTTCAAACCAAGGTTGTTAATCACCAATCACGAGGACGTGGTGGAAGGAGAGGAAGAGGAAGATCATGCAATGGCAGCAGAAGCGGTGGCAGAGCTGATCAATCCTCTGAACTATCAGATGATGAATCTGGTACAAACCAAAAAGATAGTAACAGAGGAGGAAAGAGTGGCCGAAGTAGAGGCAAGAAACCTTATGATAAGAGGAAGGTTCAGTGTTATACATGTGATAAGTTTGGTCATTATTCCTATGAATGTTGGCATAATGACTCCACTAAATCCAATAAGAAAGACAATGCAACTCACATGGCACAAGAGAAAAGTGATTCAAATCATGTTATACTCATGGTTACAACTAATAGTGGAGAAGATGAATCTTGCTGGAATTTGGACACAGGATGCTCTAACCATATGACCGGTAGGAGAGAATGGCTCATAGATCTTGACCCAAGTATGAGAAGCAGTGTTAGATTTGCAGACAACAACACAATCACTGCAGAGGGAGTTGGCAGAATCATGATTACTCAAAAGGATGGTAAGTTTGCCTACATGAATGATGTGTTGTATGTTCCGAGTATGAGGAACAATTTGTTGAGTTTGGGACAACTACTAGAGAAGGGTTATACTATGTCCATGATTCAAGGTCACATAGAGGTATATGATGGTAAGAAAATGTTGATTCTCAAGGCCCCTCTGTCACGAAATAGAACTTTCAAAATTAATTTAAATGCAACATCTATTCAGTGTCTAACATCAGTGAATGTTGAAGAAGAAGGATGACTTTGGCACTATAGATTCGGGCATCTAAACATCAAAAGTTTAGGACAATTAAGCAGCAAGAAACTTGTGAGTGGACTGCCACTAATCCATACCTCGGACAGAACCTATGAAGGTTGCATCGTTAGCAAACAGACTCGAAAGAAATTTAAGAAATTTGCACCTAAGAGGTCGAAACAGCTGCTTGATGTAGTATATTCGGATTTGTGTGGCCCCTTTAATGTAATGTCATGTGGAGGCAACAAGTATGTCTTGGTCTTTGTGGATGAATGGACCAGAAAAATATGGCTCTATTTGCTAAGAGAAAAGAAAGAAGTGTTTGGTTGTTTTTTGAAATTTTGTACATTAGCAGAGAGACAATCAGGTATGAAATTAAAAGTCTTTAGAACTGATGGAGGGGGTGAGTTTAATTCAAGAGAAATTGTTGAGTTTTGTGAATCCAAGGGAATAAATCATGAGGTGATAGCTCCATACACACCCAAACACGATGGAACTGCGGAGAGAAGAAATAGGATGTTGCTTCACATGACTCGGTGTATGATAAAAGCCAAGGGACAACCACATTATTTCTAGGGAGAGGTAGTTTCTACAGCTGCCTATATACTGAATAGGTGCCCCACGAAAGCCTTGAAGGAATGCACCCCTGAAGAAGCTTGGTATGGAGAAAAACCAGGTGTCTGTCACTTCAAGGTTTTTGGATCAGTTTGTCATAGGCACATTCCAGATGAGAAACAAAAGAAGTTGGAGGATAAGAGTGAGACTTTTATTTTGATTGGATATCATCCAGCTGGTGCTTACGAACTGTATCATCCAGAGAAGAAACAGATAGTAATTAGTAGAGATATTGTTATTGATGAGGCTACACAGTGGAGCTGGGAATCATAAGCTACGCCTACAAAAAAGATAAAGGTGTCATGTATACTTGAAGATAAAGTTGTTGTTGCTTCTGATAACAGTGTTGACCATAATAGAAGATCACAAAGACTAATATTTCCTTCCACAAGATTGACAGATTATGAGGTGTTGGCTGATAATGAAGTTGGCGATAGCGGTGACCTTGTGCATCTAGCTTTTCTGGCTGATGCAGAATCGCTAACATGGCAGCATGATATTGATACGAGAGAATGGAAAGAGCCATGATTGAATAGTTGAAGTCCATAGAAAGAAACAGAACTTGGGAATTAGTAGATTTGCCACATCATAAACATCCTATTGATGTTAAGTGGGTGTTTAAAACCAAGTTTAAACCGGATGGAAGCATAGCAAAGCATAAGGTCAGGCTGGTTGCAAAGGGTTTTCTACAAAGACCAGGAATTGATTTCACTGATGTCTTTACACCAGTTGCAAGACTTGAAACCATGAGGCTGGTGATAGTTGTTGCAAGTTGGAAGGAGTGGGAAATAAGTCAACTTGATGTTAAATCAGTTTTCTTAAATGGACATCTAAAGGAGGAGGTATATGTGAGGCAACCACCAGGATTTGAAAGGAGAGGAGAAGAACAAAAGATGTTCAAATTGCATAAAGCCTTATATGGCTTGAAACAGGTCCCACGTGCCTGGAACAAATGTATTGATGCTTTTCTAATGCAAGTTGGATTCAGCAGATGCACAATTGAATATGGGGTATATGTGAAATCAGTTTCACACAACAGTCTATTGCTAATCTGTCTGTATGTTGATGATCTGATAGTAATAGGAGATTCACAAGCTGAGATTGAGCAATTCAAGCAAAAGATGAATTCTGATTCGAAATGACTGATCTTGGAAGGTTGAATTACTTCCTTGGTCTTGAGTTCAAACACACTTCCAAGGGAACTCTGTTGCACCAGAAAAGATATATCAGTGGTATTCTGAGCATATTCAACATGGCAAACTGCAATCCTGCTCCGATACCAGTTATTGCTAATTTTAAATTGTCCGAAGCATCTGATGAAAGGATGGTTGATGCAACTCTAT